GGAAGTGAAGAGATGATCTTGGTGTTGTCCACTGTTTCTACCTGCTTTAGCAGTTTGTTGCTATCAAACTCTCGTCCCTCTGTTGATTTCCTTACATTGAAGGTGCATCAAGGCTGCTTCGTGCTCTTCACTCGGTTTACAGCAACAGCTCCCTGTGGTACCAATGAGCTGTGATGCTCCCAGCCTTGTACATTTGCACAGACACAACCTACTCTTTTAGCAAATGTACCTCGTTCTTCCTTTCACAAACCTCTGATGTTTACTTGGAACTACTATCTTACCATCTCTAGATGACAAATCAATGGAACCATTCATGAACCAAAAATCAATTTCTAATTCTTAATTCACACCTTTTTGTTTAAATGATGGAAAGAAAAGCCACTCCAGCTATTCAGATTTTCCCAGGGGCTGTATTTTTTTAATCTCTTACAGTCCTTTGGTAAGACTTTTTTTCTCTTCTTTCCATACATTTTACTCTAAACATTAGAGATAAATGCCCATGGTCATTTTCTAAAACCCAAGAAAAGTGAGCAAGGTAAATTTTATTCTTTCTGTTCTTTGTTTCATTATTTCTTTGAATTGCTTTCCCCACCTTCACATTTTTGTCTCCCTCTCAGGTGATCCCCAGAGGTAAGATTTATGTTTACTACTGATGTTTTCTGATTAAGACACTGAACTTTGGTCACTGAATTACTACTATCCGTAGAATCAGAAATCTGCCAGCCACGCACAAGTCCCCAGGGGACCTCCCCCAACCAGGGTGCCGACTGGCGCCGAATCCAGACTTTAACCCTTAAGCACTAGCATCCCCCAGTGGTCCTACGTATCAATGCAGTTCACTTTTTTTTTAAGTTTTCCAACATTCAATGTAAATGTAAATTCAAATCAAGTGCCTCGGAACTAGCCAGCCTTCAGTAAAGAACCGTATATATTTAATCATATGTAAAGGTGAAAAATTTTAATTTATTTCAGTCATTGCATATATCATGTATATTACAAAACACATACCTGTAAGAGCATGATATTTTTGTGAAACACATTTGAAAATGGAGGAAGATCAGAGTATTTATTGGAGAGCCTTTACAAAGAAGAGAAAATAGGTTCAGAGTCTCTTCCAAGAATGTTAGGTTCTACAGCTATTTTTTGCTTTTTTACAAGATCATGACTCATGGAAAAGATACTACAGCAACCATCAATTTCTAATCTGCCTTTTGATTGAAGTTCACATACTTAGAAACTACAGTCCATCATATTAGAATTCTACACCAAAAATTCTTTGACGACATTTTGTTCACATAATGAAAATTCAACTATGTTCTCAGAAAATACTCAATAAGAAGCACATCCCAGCCACCATTCTTAAACACAGCCCTTTGCAAAACAATCTGAAATTGTGTTGACTGGGATTGTTCTCCCTGTTCTCTAAAAGACCTCAGTCACTGAGGAAAGGTGAAGTAATGGGATACTGCAAAACATCACTGGGAGGGATAGAGAAAAGGAGGAGTGAGAAAAGCAGACAAATGATACACGTCTAACACAAATATGGGATGCTCACACCTACCCAGCTCCCTCCCACTCCAGAAGCAGAACAGCCACATCAGCAGAAGCCCTGTATTGGTGCTGACTCAGCAGTGGGAGGACGGAGGGGGAAGGATGTGCAAAGCTGCCAGGGGAAGAGACAGAACAGCACTTCTGCACCACACTTTTGTACGGGATGAAAAGAAGGAATTTCCTCTTGTTAATGTTGGAGCCCTCCAGTAACTCCTAATGCTGTGGCACTGGCGATGAAGCATTATTAATTGAAACAGCCCATCTGAAAATCAATGGGACTTATACATTAGCTTTAAGTTCAGCTGGAGATGATGAGCAGTGCAGAACAGAAATGGACAAACATGTTGTTGTCCTCTCTGTATCAGAATCTTGCCAGACCTGATGCCACAGGAGCTCAGAGAGGTGACACAGCTTTACGCAGTCCCTCTGCTTCCTAAATCCAGTAGGCTCATAGTGTCACCTAGCTTTTCCTCCTATTACGCTTGTGGCAATAGCTGAGAACATCTAGCAGAGTTTTATAATAGATGCATACTTCCACTCTTTGTCTGCAGTGTAAGCACTGAATACTTGAGGCAAGGGGGGAAAAACCCAAACTCAATCCCCAAAACATATGTGCCTTCTCTGCAATTTAAGGGCTAAATGCTGGGGCCCTTCTTCAGAGGTAACCTAAGGGAAGTCTGCCTTACTCAGTATCTCTGAATTCGATCCTTCGTGAGCAGCAGTCAGCCCAGAGTGTGAATGTGCTGAGACATGACGAACCTATGTCTCACCTCTTGCTGATACTCTGTTATTCTGTGGTTAAGGCTCGTGAGGATTTTTGAAAGGAAGTTTATTTTTGCAAGCTGCTGAGTACTGACTATGATGTGGGGCAGCTTTCACTTGGGCAAATGTCTTAACTTTTGTTAAGGCTCTTGGACAGACAGACTATTACCGTGACATTTACAAGAAAAGCTGTGTAGATATATTTGGCTTAGGCTATTCAGTGAAAGTCCATGTTGTAGGTTTTAACAAATAATGAACGGTTATGGTTCAGCACAAAAGGACAAGGCGGCTTTTCATCTTGACATCTCTCCCCTTCTTTTGGAAGTTCTAAAAATATTTGAGAGGGCCTAAACAATGTTTCTCATAGGTTATCATCACTACCTAAAACATAGAGGTTGGTATTCAGTATGACAAATGAATTTTGTGTAGTTTAACCATCTGTCTCTGCCAGTTACTTGAAGTGGATGATTCTGAAAAAGTCAGAAATCATCATAATGAAAACACACATGATACAATGTGTCACACAGCACTGAAAATTAATCCTGCTGCTAAAGAAATGAAGAATGCACAATAAACACATTACCTGAAATTAAAATTGTTTTTGACCAAATCTCCAGAGCCTTTAAAGTTGTAACAATGATTTCCTATTTATAAGGACTACTCGAATTCTCAGGTGATTCCCTGTGGAGAGCTGTATGAATATTTTTTCCAGAGCTGAGGAAAGGAAAATAGATAGCTATAATGGAACTGCAGGAGCAGCCAAGCAGCAGATTGATTCAACAGGAGAAATTCAATGCATCCCAAAAGATTTCCTAGGATTTGCTCTCCTGCTGCTTAGGGCACAATTTGTTGTAATGAGAAACTGAAGATTTTGTTTCAGGTGTGTCAAAGCTTGTAGTGACAACTTGAAAGTATAAAGGAAAAACAACTGAAAATCTCTCTTAAATAATGCTTTTGGATGAGGAGAGAACAAGGACAAGCTCTTCAAGGTGCAAAAAAGGTCAGATACCTCATGTAAATAGCATTCCTTAGAAGGTACTAATTGAATGCACAGTTGAACCCTTTCCTTCATCTTCAGACTCCTGCATTAAACAGCTTGAGAACTACAGTATACCTCAGTAAGCAAAACAGAGACAGCTTTATTAAATTATCTGGCAAAATTGCACTTGGTCTCACTGTAATCTTTGCTCATAGAAATGTCTGTAGAAAAATCCTCAGTTTACAGTTGTGAAGAACTGAGTTAACAAGTTATAAAGTAAAAAACAAGTGAGGTGTTTGGCGTTTTTTTATTAAATAAGGGAAGATTTAAACAGGCAGACTACTACTGTTCATCTGGAGTGTGCCACACAGTAGAAGGCTGGCAGGAAGCATGTACTGCTGCAGTACTACATAAGCCCTGTTTGAAAGGTTAAGTGGGACATGCATGATGTGAATTTCACCCTGAAGAAATGTGAAAATTTGTAGGCACTCATGTCCTCCTCTATGAGAAGTAATAGTCATTATGAACACTGACCTTCTCTACAGCTCTGGCGTACCATAGCCTATGAAGATTTCTTGCTAATGACTTTATAGTGAAAGCTCTGAAATGCTGTATTGGTTCTCAAGTAAAGACCAGAGTTTTATTGAGAAACAGGCTGCCAGATGAACTTTCTTCAGGCAAAATGCTGAATGCTGACAGCATCCTGGTTTGATTAGGGAAGACATGTAAAATCTGAGATGTTCATATTCACAGCAGCATATATTTTTCAGAACTAGCATGCCCGTCACACTTCCCATCATCACACTATGTACTAGAACATCACATGGTGTAAAAGAACCAACAGAGAAGAAGTGGATGCTCTAAAAAAAATACCTTACCAAGAATGAACATTCATATGTGAATGACATTGTACTTGGACATTCAGCACAGGTTTACATTTAGTTACAAACAATACAAATATCCAGAACCCAAAGATTTGAATCTTAGAGCCTTTAGAACACAGACCAAAGCAGACAGCACCTGCCGTTTCTCCCCTAGATGACCGAAGTTGCATTACAGCTCCAGGCTCCAATCAGTTTCAAGACCTACCACATGAAGTAGGATCTCCTAGAGCATCTTTCCTTATCGATAAAAGGCCATCAGACTCAGGAACTCTCCAAGTACATAGCATAGGAGCAAGTACAGACCAGGAGAGAAGAAATGCAAGTGCTTCACCACTTTGGCCCCTTGCCAAAATAAGGGCCAGGGGCTTTTTAACTTCCAGTTGAAACTGCATTTTGCAAGATTTTTTTTTGTTGTTGTTTCTGTAAACTCTATGTATGGAGTATAGAGAGAATATACATTATTTCCACCAGCTACCTGTCCCTCAAGCTTCACCTAGATCAGCATAAAACACTGATACCCTCAGGGCAATGGAGTCTGAACCAGAAAGTCAGCTTCTGATCAGGGATGGGGCAGCATCTGAACAGCGAGGTGTGAATAGCCACTTATTGTTATAGTTCCTATTATCATTTTATTTTCTCTCAGTCTCACTGTGGAAGCAGAATGAGAGTTCTGCCTCCTCCATTAACCTGGAAAGCAAGGCAAGGTGTACAGCAAGAAATAAAAACCGTAAGAAGCACCTAGACGAAACTCAATCTTTGCTTTTAATGAGACAGCCCCCTCTGCCCTCATCTTTGGAAACAGGTGACCCAATTACATCTCTTACCTGTATGGTCCCAGAGTCCTGCTGCCGTAATACAAAGCTTCTTCCCAGGATTCAAGGTTAATACAGGCATCCATGGCACAGTCAAGCATTTTCAGCTGATAGATATTTGTGTCTGGAAGACGATGCATATTGTTGCTCAAGAGATTCTGGCATCTTGCCAGAACCTGCTCCCACTCTGTTATTAGCCTTAGTTAAAGAAATATCTTTAATCAAACACAAATACAAGTTCTAAATGTTGTTAGCAAGGAGTAAAAGCTACAGGGCTTTAAGATAAGAAAGCTGCCATCATTCCAGACTCTGCTTCAGTTCTTGAAAACATACTTTAACTCAGAAGTAGTAGCTTAGGTAACTATGCTTTGTTTACATTTAGGAAAACAATTTCTAAAGAAGGCAGGATTTCAGCAATAAAGGGTAAAGGAAAGATGACAAAATGAAAGGATATTTTAACATACAACAAACTAAAATACTTTTTATTTAGCTGCTGAAACATTATTATTTACTTAAGATAATCCTCTAAATCTTACACCCAAGGGCAAGAACCCATGGAAATATGCCTTAACAAAATGTCTCAGAAGCTAAAAATAGAAATCAAATTTTTTATATATTAAAATAATGATACATACTTTTAAGCTGCCCAAGATTTGGTTTAGAATTGTCATGCGATTAGAACCTTTTCTTGCAATTAATTAATCTTCTTTCTCCTTGAAACAGTTGTAAAGAGCATTGTTTTTTTCATGTACAGCTGCATGTTTCATGCATGAGAAAGAAAAGCAGTTATATCTCATTGCAGTTCAGGATTAAGGATCTTGGCAGTAAGGAAGATTTTTACCTCTAATGCTACAAGAAGATTTTTTGTGTGTTAGGAAGAGAGGAAAAGTAAGCTGGGGCTTGCATTCACTTTAGTCAGATATTCCTTACCACAAATCACTTATTTTCATTATATCCTACACTGGTTTTACTTTTCTGTCGATCAGATTCTTCTCTCTCCAACCACACCTAAGCTGAATACCAAACTTCCAGATTTTAAATGAGTACTGTCATCTGGGACTTTATGGGAATCCCAGAATGCAAGCAGTCTAAACACCAAAAGGTACCATACACACCAGTAAGAACAAATCAAATTAAAAAAAATTAAGACTTATAGTAAAAGGAGTAATAACATTGTCCTTTCCATACAATCAACTGAAGGAAGTTCAGCAGTTATCTTCATGACGTTACTGAAAATACTATTCACTCCAATCCAGCAATGGACTTAAATGTACAATGATAACCCTGTGATGAAGTAATTAGTCCTCCTGAACATGGGAATATTTACATACTTACATTTAAGAATGTGACCACTATGTGGCTGGGCCAGAATTTATAGCATTGTTGTTACAAGGCTAAACTAATTATTTGTGAATTACTCTCATGCCCTTGGATTGAAAGAACCATATAAGGGAAGGAATGTGTTATTATAAAATTGCACCTTAACCTTTGTATCTCTGGCAAACATCCATGTATTCTTTATAACTGATTAAGGACAGACAAACAGAAGAATGAGGGGTATTATTTCCACTTGATGCAATTTTTGTAGAAGGTACAAAGCACTGACATTTTTGAAAGATTACCATTTTAGTTGAGGCACAGTATCAGTCTGTCTGCTTTTACCTCTCATTACACTGCTTTGTTCACTCACTAGCGTCTAACAGCAGATGTGCTATATTGCAAAACCTGCTGGGACCAAATTTTCAGGTACATAAATTGCAAACTAGAAAACCCACTATCAGCTGCAACAGGACAAAAGAGAAGCTGGCTGTCTTGTATCTGCCCAAGACTAGAGGAACAGATCTCAAGCAGCTCTGCTACTGTTGTGTGGCCTGAGATGCAGAGGAATCCTTTTCCCCACAACAATTCCCCTCCACTGGGCTTTAGTGTCTCCATTTGTATGCTTAAACTGGTATTTGTGTCTGAGACAGTTCAGTCGCACATGTTGTTTCAAGCTCTCTAATTGCAGATTTAGCATTACAACACTGTATCAGTTATAATCAGCAGCTCAGGTTTTGGAAGTCAGTAACTTCCTCAACTGTAGGAACAGTTGGTTTAATTTGCTAAAAAAAAAATACATTTGCAGAAACTAATGACTATGTGCCTCAGTCAGCAAGGAAGGTTTTCTATTCTTTCTTGGCAAGCGGACGAAGGTCAAGCCCACTCTTCAGGTACTGCGCTTGCCACAGCAAGCCAATTAGCACTGGTATTGTGGTGCAATGGAAGGAAAGATGACACATTTCAAATAGCCGATGTCTGAGAACAGAAGCTGAACAGACAACAAGGACATATTTTTTCAACCAGTTCTGACACCTTTTACTACAATGCGTTTGATTCATTTTTAAAATCAGTTAAATCGGTAATCTTAATGAAAGACCCTAGCAAAATTCAGTAGGTGTAATTTCTCCTACAATTAAATATAGGAACATTAAATAAGACCAGTATTCTGGCTGCATACTTTCAGTATAAAAATGATTGCAACTGCATGTTGCATACCTGTAGTTTAACCTTCAGGTTAAAACATGGGCGCTGAAGTATAACTGAATGCCTGAAAGATCTATTTCAGTACTGCCTGTCTCAGTCCAGTGACTACAGAGGAACTCAAGACAGACTAGAAACCACATGAAAATTAAAGTTAGATGAGATGAGTGTTTCCCTTTTGCAAACAAACAAATCTCTCTGGATTAGAAGGAAACAAACTCAGTTGTTTGGGGTTTTTTTGCTACAATAAAAATTGTGATCATTTGTTTGCAGCTCAGAATATCACTATGCAAACTTGGTTTTTATGCTACTTAAAAGGAGTACTGGAAGATTTAATTCTCTCTAGCTCCAGAGAAAGCCCATGTTTCTGAAAATGGTAAGGCATCTTGCTATAATAGGCCAAATTCAGTCAATGAAATTCCACTGAATAGACTGAGAGAGGGATCAATATACTCATAGTCTTCTAGTAAAAATCTCCACCTCTCTTCTACTCATCTTTTCATGGTTGTTGCTGTTCACTAATTTTTTTAATTGAATTGAATATCTACATGATGGCCATTAGGCTCCAGTTCTGTTTATTAGTGCAAGATCATCTCATTCAATTTGCTTAATTATAAATTATTATAATATATTATTATTATTATAACTTATTATAATGATTCTATAATGTTCACAGTGAATCTGACTGTTATTATGTCCTTGTTATTGTCACTGCTGTGCAAAGAATGAGGACCTGGAAATGTTCACAGTGGGAGTAATGGGACAAAGAATTTAACAATGTTTCAGATTAAGCTTTATTTGATTTAGAAGTGGATTTATATGAAGTGGTGAGCTGAGATAGCAGCAGTCTAAACATGAGCCAAAATATCCCTTCGCATCCTAGGTACCTAGCATCCCTGCCATGAAGCAGTTCCAGTCCACATAATCAGAGACTCTATTATTATTAATACAATTAAGAATATTACGTTTTAAACATCAAATGAATTAAAATACATTTTAAAACAACATAAAAATGTAAACCTTTAGGAAATAAATCTCAAAAGATTAAGTGTGTACTAAGGGTCTCTCTGGACTGTTTTCAGAACTGAATGATGTATCCTGTCACTGAAAGGATACCTTCTTTTGATTTTGGATTTCTCACTTCATTCACAGCATCTTTGACTTCTTTCCAGGCATGCTCTTCACCGGCCAATTTCTCAGCATCCTGGTTAATGGAAACAAAAGCATTTGATGAGAAAAACAGTAAACTGAGAATATGCAGTAATGATGAAAAACAGGGTAAAAAGACTACACTGACAAAAACTACTTGTGGGGATTGTATCACTATTTTTTGTAAGTACACAAAAAACCATTTCACCTGGCATTCATACTCACTCATTAAATGAGATGATATCAAGAAAAATGAATGCAAACTTGGAAATATTAAATACTCAAACCAGACATTAGGTTTGCAACAAGAACTATGATCAAACAGAAAAGGGAAATAATAGCATGAGATTTTTACTATCAAAATGTATTTGAGCAGATAAAATTCTCTCAGAGACCTGCTACCTAATACTTCACAGATCCTCAACCACACTGTAAGAAAGAATTTAGCAAATAATTTTGATTAACCATGTGGTGACTATTATAGAGACTTTACAAACAGTGGGAGGCTACCTTCATCCATTACAGTTATAACCTTGAGCCTACAGAAGTCTACTACTCAGAAAAAGCTGAACTTTGGTTTTCTTTTACAACGCATTGTAATTTCTTCCCTATTCCACTGAATTCTATAAACAGCGATATTTTCCCATCACTTTGTCATAAAGAAGGCAAAAATGATTAATGGTTACAGCAGTAAGAGAAAGTTACCCTTTTCAACTCCCTAGCAGTGACTAACTGCACCTTAGGCAAACCACTAGGAACAAGTTTATTAAAGCACCTACAGACACAGTTAAGCATCTTGAGGGATTTCCAAAAGCATCTAGATACTCAGTTTCCATCGCTATAAGCACTGAAATACATTTTAAAATCTGGCCTTTAAGACACTGCAGTTCATTCTCTCTCTTTATAAAAGGCCCTGCTACTCGCAAAAGAGTATTGTAAGTGCACATTCTTGCAGGAGTATTTTAAATGCAGTTCTAAAAAAATCATCCCTCAGCAGGGGTGGAGGCCTGGAGATGAACAGAGAAAGTGTGTGAAAATCTAACCAAGCACTTTGCAATCCAGTGCTCACTGGGCATCACAAGAGTACCTCTATTACAAAGCCTGTAATCTGTATCTGTCTAGAACTGCATAATTTTCTTATTCCACTGCTCCTTATTTACCATAAATTCAGAACAGAAAATATTTACAGTGAGAATCAGCACTCACTTTCACATTTAATTTGCAGTTTTGTCTTTCTGTCAGCTCCATGAAACAGCAGACCTCTGTGTATTCCTGGGATGATTAAATCAAGACTGGTCTCAGCTGCCCCACCATTCTGTAGGACCCTACAAGGAGGGCAGCCTGACTGCACTGCGTTTTGCACAGGTACTTCCCCTACAATCAGTTCGCTGATCAAAAAGATCACCTGGAAATAATTTTGTGCATAGCTGAATTTGCCACCTGAAGGCATAAGGTGAATGTTAGGACAAAGAAGCTCAAACTATAGAAATTTTATCAGCACAGTCAATGTACCTACCCAGCCCTCTTACAGCTTTGCGGTAGACTTACACTGAATCTGTTAGCTTCGATGTAACCTCTACCAGGTTTTATGAGACTACATCGATTTCTGAACTCAGCCCATTAAACTGTAACAATCTCTAAAACATCTTTGTAGATCAAGCACTGCTCATTAATTGATCTAAAAAATAAATCTGGCCTGTAAGATACTAATAATGATGTCTATGAAATTTTAGGTTTAAAGGGCTACCAAAAAAGCAAAATTCTTTTAAGCTATCTTTTCCCACTGGCCCAAGTATAATTCTCAGTATTTCTGTAACATGCTGTAATCCTTACAACTAAAACCTCACAAACATGGGAATACGGACAGATTTATAAGTGAAAGAAAAAACCCGACTATACACCAAGTTACAAGCCAATGAGTGATGCATCATTAGGGCTCACTTTGCACACAGTGGGACTGATGTATGAATCAGGTTAAAGTGTTCATTGACACGGGATTAATCTTCCTCTTTCTTGTGCAGTCTTTTGAGTTGCTTTCCATTGTCTTCTAGCATTTTATTAACAACACAAAGCAGTGCAAGGTTGGGCTTTCCTCTAACCTTTCCACTAGTGCATAGGGTTAAGTCAACACTGGCTTCATACCCAGGTAGAGAATAGGGAGTGTCTGTTGGACCAATAGCCTCCCAGCCCCCTCTGGATTCATCATCTTTATCCTTTTTGTAAGAAAATTTAGGATGGAGTGAGCTGGGCAGGATGCCCAGCTCTGTGAAGGATTACAAGTCACAGGTTTCTGTGAGGTATTTTCTGTGTTCTCAAGATGAGGCATTTTGGGGATTGGCTGATGTAAGCACAAGCAAAGACCTGGCTAGCTAAGCCTTTTACACCTCTACTGTTTTTCATCAGGTTTTCATGCACCAGAGAAGTCCTGTCCTTTCCTAAACACTCTAGTTCAAGGCACAGAGGCTGATTCCAAACAGGCAGCCAAGCAGGGACTGCAAAACAACCAGGAGACCTTAACACTGAGAACACTTCTGCCTTCCAGCCTAATAAGCTTTTTCAAGTAAGTTGTTTCCTCACTTGGACAATGCCTTGAAAGTCATGGCCATGTGATACGACTAAGCCAGCTAAAAATACAAAGCTGCCTTGGAGTTGGAATTATGGAAATAATTGAAGCAATTAATAGTTATGCCAAAGTTTAATTTAATCTAAGGGCATGGCAGTAACAGCTATGGGAGATTTAGCTTTCCACAGAGTAATACCAATTCAAAGCTTCTCTTTTCACAACATGTTCCCAGTCAAACCACCAGGTGTGCAGAGCTGCCAATAATAAAGGAAGATGGGCTTTTTTCATCTGTAGAAAAGGAGAACCGCAGATGAAGAAAAGGAAAGGGTTTTTGAAAAAGAAGGAAGAGTTAGAGACTTGTGCCTATTTTGCTTATTTCTAACATTGATACTAAACGTTAAGAGTTTGCTCTTCAGAGCAATCAAATACTTTGTCTTGGTCTAAAAAATAATTAAACTAGATAATGTAGTCACAAAAATGCATTACAACTTTATGATGACTGAAACTGGCATGCTTTACAATTCAGCTTTCACACATAAAGGCGTGCTGGAGAAATCTGAGAGTACAAGTGTTGAAGGCTCATGGGGAGAGCAGAAAAGACAGCCGCAACACATGCTTGTCCATGGCAAGAACACAACCTCGCAATACACTTAATAACACAGGTACAATCCATTGGAGGCAGAAGCGTCACTGTATGTGCTATCTGAACCCACAATCTAGGGCGCAGGGAAAGACAAAATTGATCCTGTGACTTATTTTGAGGAATTATTCCAGATGGAAGATATTTCCAGCACCTGATTTCCACTTACTCCAAGTATCTGCAGGGGAAACTTGTTCATTAAATGGTGAGTTAAGATGCAACAGCAACATTTCAATTCCATCTCTCCATTCCTCCAATACCATGGCAGGTGCTGCTACAGCTTGGTAGTGTTGATAAAACCCACCTGGGGATTCATCATTTTAACACTGAAGCTTTCTGGAAATCTCCTATCTACTTATCCCTTGGACTACCTATCCCTAACTCCTTAGACCTGTGCTTCTAATCCTTTAGATGGAACAATTTCCAGTTATATTCAAATCTTCTAGTTAAACAAGCTACAAGCTAAACTCTTCACACCAGACACCTCTCAAAAGAAGAACACTGTGTACCCTCACATTTTCTTGAATTTAGTTAGGGTACATAAAACATGAAGGCTCACCTACATAATTCAACAGGACAAAATTCTACCCCTGAAACCTATTTGGCTTCAAAATAGGCAAATGCATAATATTCTGTAAAGCAAAATTTTCCTGCCATAAAGAACCATATTTCCTCCTCTAAATCTCACAATAATTTTACTGTATAAAGGATTCAAGAACAAGACTAATTTTTAATTCTCCAGACTCAGAAATTTGTAGATACTTATTGAATTCTATGCTTCAGGAGCCTGCGAATGGGCATGATCAGCTCTGCCGAGCTCATCCTGTAAATGCTCATAAAAATAGTCTGTGGTACACAATACACCACTAAATGTCAGTATTTGCTTTAAATATTACACAGTTTTCCACAGTTTAGGTTCTATTAGTGGCACTTGTAAAAACGAAGCTATAACCACATAACAAAGCTATAACAAAAGAGAGAGAAATAAGAAAACCAGAGGGTATCTGATGAGGATTATAATCTGTTTGCTTAGTAATCGAATGCAAAATGTTCTGCAGTTCTGTCTTGAAGTGATAGGAATATTTATTATGAAAGCAGTCTCCTGAAACAATTACAGACATCAGCGACCACAGAAACAAGCATTTGAAAATGTTCACCTGTTCCATTCCCTCTTATGCCTTCGCTCCCATGTTGTTGGTATGAATTAGTTCTCTCCCTGTCTCTTCTGCTATTCTAGTGTCCTGAACACATCTCATCCTTAACTGAACTCTCCTTAGAAAGGAGTATAATCTTCAAAGTACAGATACAGTTTCTCTTTCCCTGACTACTCTTCTGTTTCTTATACTTCCTAAAAGTGCTCCCTACCTATTCATTTTGAGTGCCGCTGCTTTTACACGCAATGTTAGCAGTCACTGTTCTTTGCTATCCCTACATTTAAAAACCTGAATGTTAAAAGATTCCCATATGGACAGCATGTCCTCTGAGAGAAGAGATCTCTCTTACCAGAACAAGCATATGCCAACCAGTCAGCGTCATTGCCCCCTCTGCCCAAATGCACTCCCACAGCCCCAACATTGCTCAACCGTAATGCACTGCACCTCCAAAAATCTCCTGAACATTGGAAAGGTTGATTAAGGGCTAGTCCTCCTTTCATACTTAGGCTACAGTATAGAAATAGGACAGGGATTTTCTGTCCTCTCTACAAAGTTCATCTTTCTCCTTCTCACAGATGGAGGTAGAAAAACAGGCCAGAGATTTGCCATGGAGAGGAACCATGAAGCACTCCTTGCCTCCCTCCACAGAAGGGAAAAATGGGGACAGGAAACTCCAAACAATAAGTAACTCCTACACC